GCGTGGTCTGCAGGCTGCCTGCAGAGCTGCTGCGGCTGGCCTCCAGCGACATGTCGCTCCCTGTGGCCTATGGGGAAGCCACAGGGGATGGGGGGCTGCCCAGTGTTCCCCAGCCCCGCTGCTCCCGCAGCCCACCCTTCCCGGTGACACGCGGGCCCCTCCGGCCCCCCAGAAATTCACTCAGAACGTATCCAGTATCCCACTGCTTCTCCCTCTGCCCCATCACCACCTGTCTGGGCTTCTGAGTGAACTTCAACTAAGCGCCCTGCCCCCACCCCACTCCCCTGTTCCCAGTGGGTAGCCAGCATCATCCTGCTCAAACCCAGGTCAGACCCTGGCCCCCAGCCCAGGAGGCTGGGGGCTCGCTGGGAGTGAGAGCCCTTGGGCCCCAGCCCACCCCTCTGGGACCTCACTTCTTACCACTCTCTCCCTTGCTCACATGGCTCCTTCTGCCCCCATGCCTCTCCGCTACCCCACCCCAACCGCTGCTCCAGCTGCTGCCTGGAAAGCTCTTCCCCACACCCACCTGCTTCACCCCTCCCTGCCTTCCCTGTCCCTCGACCTGAGCTGCCAGCACCCTGCTCCCCCCACACCCCTTCCCTGGCAGGTCTCCCTATCGGCTAGACTATACTTTTCATTCATTTATTTTGGTTTATCATGTCTCCTCCTGTACCCCTGCAACACAGGCACGAAACACTGAACTATAAACCCCGTGAGGCAGGGATTTTGTATCTTGCATAGCTACAGCCTGATGTGTAGTTGAGGTCAGCAGTCACTGATGGAACACGTGACTGGAAGAGCCCTGGGCCTGGCCCTGCCTCCACTACACTGTGCAAGCTGGGGCAGCTCCTGCCTCTCCCGGAGACCTGGACCCCTGCCCACAAAACGGGGACATCAGGTCTGCAGGACCTTCTGCTCTGTGCTCCACATCCTCTGGGTGCCTAGGTGGTGGCCCTGGCCAATCCACTCAGGTGGCCCTGCAAACCCATCCCCCAGACCCATCCTCCCCGCCTCTATCCCTAGTAATCACACCCAACCTCCTCGGTGCCCACCCACCCCCTACACCCTGCATAGCATCCCAATGCCCCCTCCTCCCCACCCCCTCAAGTTAGAGTCCAAGGATCTTCCTTCAGGATCCCCTACCTGGGCTCCCCCAATACCCTACTGCCCCAAATGCCCTAGGACCTGCCTATGCCCATTTAATCAGCCTCTAGTGCCACCTCCTTCCTCAAGTCTCAGCACCACCCCCTCACTTTCCCAAGTGCCCCCAGCATTGCTGTGCCCCATGCCTTTGGTTGGGCCCGTCCCCTCCTCTGCCCCTGGCCTTTAAGGCCCCACTCAGGAGTGACAGGAGTGCTCTCAGAGCCGGGAGATGCCATACCTGCCGGAGGAGGGTGCAGTTGACGCTGGGCGACCGCAGGGATGCCCAGGAGCCCTGCAGGGCGATCTTGGGGAGGGTCCCGGCACCAGCGCCTTTCTCCTGCCCTTTCTGGCTGGCAGCCACAGCAGGGTGGAAGAACTCGGCTGGCATGGGCAGGAGCGGGCTGGAAGCATCCGTGGAGAAGGGGCTCTGGGGCGCTGCTGGGGGAAAGGAGAGGGGGCTGGGGAGCAGGCTCAGGCTGGTAGGCTCCTGGAGAGTGGGCTGGCAGGAAGGGACTACCTAACAAACTGGCTGCAAGACTGTGGGCAAGCCTCCCTCTCTGAGCCTCAGTGTCCCCGTTGTAAAAGCAAGAGAGAAATACTGAGCCTGCCCGTGTGACTCCTGGGAGGATGGGCACTGGGCAAAGGCACAGTTTTTGGAGCCAAGCAGACCCAGACTCAAGGCCCCTTGGGCTCCTTCCTCTGTGAAATGGGGACCAGCTGCCTACCTCAAGGAGTGGAGGGAAGGCTGTAGGAGCCAGAGTCACTGAGGTGCTCCCAGTCCAGTGCACAGCAGCGCCCACTGTGATAGTCACCCCCTAGGTCCTGACACCCACAGGGCCCGGCCAGGCCTGGGGGCCCCTCCAGGACAGCTGGCAGGTGCGCTCTGCACTTAATGGCAGAGCAGACAGAGTGCTGGGGATCTGCGTGGTCTGCTCCACTGGGAATGGAGAGGGGCAAGGAGAGGGTGAGGGGAAAGTGGCAGAGGGGGCAGGTCAGGGTAGGGGCAACAGCAACCTCTGCCTTCCAGGATGAAGATGAAAGCTTGAACGTCCACAGGTAGGGGCATTCCTAATCTGCGTCGTTGTATTATTTAAGGAAAACACTAATGACTGGTCTACTAAAGAGGATGAAACTTCATCAGATCAGAATGGCTCTCGGGTCCTGTGCCCTGAATTTTGGTTCAGGATGTCTGGGGTCTTGGCACCTCAGCTGTCATGTCCAGTCCAGAGGCTATCAGCTCGAGTGAAGGTCCTCAGAAAAGTCAGCTCCAGTGAAGTGCTCAATGCCAGGCCTCCCTGGAGAGTACTTGGGGTGGGCTCAGGATCCTGGGGGTCCCTCTTCTGCTGAGCTCATCTCTCTGCCCTCCTCCCCAGCCGGTGCTATGAAACCAGATCCTGTCACCCCTCAAGGGGACTAGAGGTGAATGTGAGCCCGAGGGATGGACGGGCCAACTTAGTCCTCTGTCCTTGTGCTCATAGCCTGGCCACGAGCCACCACAAACACGGGATGCTGAGGGCAGGGCATTGTACAAAAGGGCTATTGAGAACAATAAGCTTTCTGTTGTTCAGCATCACCTTGTGTGAAGATCTGCAAGATAAACACCTCGCAAAATTCAACTCTAGAAAAACACTCCAATAATTAGGCAGCTATCCTTCTGCTTGATGAGAGCTGTGTGTGCCAGCCTGTTTCCTTTTTCACCACAGCTCCTAGGAAACTCAGCATGAATCTTTCATTCGCCCAGATTTCTGGTATGATTATCATCTCATCTCTCTGTCATCTTTGGCTCCTGATCTTTCATTATTGTCATATTGGGCCTGAGATGCCTATCTTTTATTGTCAGTTACCCATCTGGTTCTTTCTGGCCTCAACACAACAGTCTAGGCAAAAATACTAAGGGAAACACTCAGCCGGCTCCCTCTGAAGCCGACACTTGAGATCGAGGCTCCACCCTCACCTTGGCTGCTCTCATGTTTCAGCCAGGACCGGACGGGGTTGAACGGCATCGCCTCCATCTCGCACAGGAAGTTCTCCGGACTTGACGAGACAGCCATGTTGGACAAGGGGAAGAAGCATTCACCGAGGTCCCCTACACGCATGGGCTCAGGTGGGTCTGGCTCACCCTGCAGGGAAAGGGAGGTGGAAGGGGCAGGATGATGGAGTGAGTACAGAGGCTGAGACTCCCACAGCTGCCTTCATGGCCTGCTACTCAGCCCTTAGCTTGGCCGCTCTCACTGCCTGGGGTGGCCTTTTTCTCGCCTCCTCCATCTGGCCAGCAATCATCATCTTCCAAAACCTGGGTGAAAGGGCTCCACCTCCAGGAAGCCCTCTCTGATGCCTCAGGCAGGTAAGTTTCCTGCTCTCTCCTCACCAAGATCCTTGAAGGTCTGCTTGTCTCTGTAGCCAAGTACCTGGTATAGACTCTGGGATGGGAAGACCCACTTCCCCCATCCCAGCCTTCCCAGAGCTGATGGAGGAGGGCCCTGGGGGACAGTGATGCCAAACCCAGCCTGCCCCAGGGGTCAGGGAGACAGAGGCTCTCTTAGGGCAGGGCCACTGCGTCCCAACCTCAGGCCAAGGACTCCCCCTTACATTCCCCAGCTGGGGCAAGAATGACCTGGCCTGGAGGTCACTAGCTGGGCAGCAGACCTCCCCTGCCTGAGTCTGCAGGATCCACGAGGTGGCCCTTCCAGCCCTCCTGGCCTGCTCAGACTGAGCACATCGAGGGCAGAGGTTGGGGACCAGCCCTAGGGCTGGCTTCCCAGCTCTGCCATTCCTGGTTGCGTGACAGGACAAGCCACCTCACTCCTCAGCTCTCATTTCCTCTGTGTGGATGGAGACAAATCATCCCCACTGCACAGAGCCGGGGGACGGACACACTGAGTGCCAGTCAAGTCTCGCACACAGCACATGTTTGCACCTGTTATGACTGTCCCCTATTCTCTTCTGCCTCATAGCTCCCCCCTCATAAGGATAGCCTGCCAGGGATGATTCCCATTACATGGATAAAAAATTATCCGAAGCCACAGTGAATGAGCAGTGTCACTTGGAGGCTGAGATTGGAGCCCTGGCTGGACTCGTTGCTATGTGACTTTAGGTAAATCTCCACCTCTCTGTCCCCTGTCTTCATCTGACCAACAGGAGATGAGGGCCCAGCACACTGGGTACCCCTCAGATGGTGCCCTGGGAAGGAGCAGTATTCAGGCATGGCAGGCAGAGGCCAGGCTGCAAGGACTAGCCCGCTTGCCCAGGTGCCCACCCGGGGTGCTCACCTTGCTGTCTCTGGGGCCAAGCTGGCAGGCTGCGGGGTCCTCTAGACTCAGGTCGTCACCCAGTAGGATGGACGAGGACTTGTCTGAATTCAGGGAGAAGGCCTCCGTCTCTGCCAGCTGCACCTGCAGGGAAAGGTGGCAGCCTCAGATCACCCCCGGCACTGGGCTGGAGCAGGCTGGTCCTCCAGAAAGACATGGGACAGTGGTCAGAGAGCTCCACAGATCCACTGAGCATGGATGGCATGTCCCTCCGTGTAGGGACTCAGCCTCGGCTGGAGGTGGGAGATGACACAAGAGTGTCCCAGCCAGCGGGGTGCCAGGCCAGGGCTGGGCCAGAGGGCAGGCAAGTTGCCTCAGACTGTGAACTCCAAAGCTGACCTACTTGCCCCCAGACCAAGTGCCCTGAGAGGCTGGGCTGGGTCTGACTCACCTATGGGCCTGTGGAGGACCCTAGGGTATTTGAAGCCACCCCAGGCTGGGGGGCCGCTCAGGAGTACCCCTGGGGAGGAGCTCAGGGCCCCACGTTACTGGGGAGAGGGCCTGCCTAAGCCTGCACAAGACAGGCCTGAGGCCACTGGATGCCATGGGATGCTCATCTGGGAAACTCCACCTGGGAAGGTGGGGCTGAGTCCCCCGCTGGAGGCCAGGGCAGGAGCTCCTGGAGGAGGCTCTGGGGTGCTCAGGCCTTGAATGCTGGGATGAACCCCTTTGTGTCACAGAAAAAGCAAACTGTACCAGAGGTGACACCGGGGCTTTCTGTTGGCACCAGCAGCCCGCCACCAAGGTGGGCAGCTGCCCTTTCTGAGCACCCACTGTGTACAGGCACAGCACGGGGCCTCGCAGCTCTCTGGGGCCTGCTGTGCAGACCTGTGCACGCTGTGCAGACAGACAGGCCAGCTCAGGCTCGGGGAGACGGGTCTGCCACGGGCATAGGGGCCAGCATTGGCCAAGTCAGCCTGACCAGGTCCTCTGCCCAGCGCCAGCTCTCCCCTCGAGTTAGCCCCCAACCATCTTCATGCCATGCTCCCTCTGGGGCTGCCGTTACCTCTTGCTTGTCATGGTGACACTTCTCGCAGCCGGCCGGCGAGGAATAGTGGTGGAAGATGGAGCCAGACAGGTTGTCAATGATGGTCAGCTCCCCCTCCAAGGAGTCCTTGATGATTAAAGAGACGCTGTCCAGCCACAGGTTCTCCTAGGCGGACGAGGACGGGGTGGGGACAGGCGGGATTATCGGCCGGGTCCGGGGACGGCTGGGTGGGCGGGGCACAGCTGCCCTCCCGGTTCACTGTGCCCGTGGCCTGGGCCCGACCCCCTCATCATAGGGTCGCCCCTTCAACACAGCTGAGCAGGGTGGGGCCCCAGACGACAGAGGTCTCTGCCCGAGGCCTTCTGGCCCAGGTGCCCTTCCAGCCCTGCGGGCCCGCCCTCGGTGACCCCGGTGCCCCCTCCAGCCCCCGCCCACCTGGGCTGGAGAATAGCAGCGTCGGCACAGGCGGCCCTCGGTGT